ACGTAGCGGTCCTGCCGGTTAGTGAAGTACGAGTCCCTCAGATTGGCCCTGGAAAAAAAAAATGACAGCCAGGCGTTTAGTTTATTTTTTTTTGCGCCTCGATGCCACTTGGATGTCATTTAAAGGTCAAAGGTCAAATACAAAAAAAAAACGTATGTGTACAAAATGGGACACCACAGTGCAAATGAGAGGTTAGCACGTCCTCATAGTTCTAAGGTTGAGGGTTTGAATCCTGGGCCTTGCATGTTCCCCAACTCAGACCCTGATTAAATAGACGGACAATGTCAAAAAAAAATTAAATAAAAAGGAAAAAGAATAAAACGTTTTCTATGACACTGGCCTCATAACTATGGCAAATGAGAAGCGCTGCCAAATTATTTGAATTACAGGTTTCAAAAGATTTACATGCGCACTTGCGGCGTAATCTCTATTTGATTTTGCAGCTTGTTTGCCTTCTTCATCAGCCTCCGGCCGAACGACAAACAGAACAGAAAAACCACACTTGACGCCATCGCTCAAACATTTCCAAGAACTGATCGGGATCCCCCTCCAAGGCATAACCGGACACAAACCTTTTCAGCGCTCCCTCGGGCACCCACCCGCTGATGATGAAGCTGTCGTCAAATAGGTAGACCTTGATGTGTTGCACGCCGATGGTCTCGTTGAAGCGCTGCGGCATGAGCAGCCTCAGCAGGCCCCTCAGGTCGGGTGTGTGGTATAGGGACACGCGCATTTGCGAGGTGAAGCGCCGCAGCAGAGGCAGCAGCATGGTCCTCGAGTTCACCTGTCCTGAGGGGAGGAGCGATCAAGGGAGGATGAGCAGGGCCCCCCTTTGCCCCGCTGATAGACACGTTCAGGCCGCTGACCTCGAGAGCCTCGTGTGTAGTCCAGCAACACGGAGACTTTGAGCTCGGGCGCGTGGTTGTTTTCTTGTGAGCTTTCCAGTGCTTCCTGCATGCAGTCCACCTGCAACACAACAAAAGAAGCATTCAGAAGTATAGAGTGAACCCTCACTAGTCACAAATATATATTAAAAAAAAAAATTGCAATCTGTCATTATAGCCCAAATTTTTGCAAGGGCACTAGCATGTGCCCCTTCCTTGTTTTGTGTCGTTCCAATATTTTAGTGGACGGCCTTGCCTTTGCTCTTGGAGCGCTGACAGCATCTACATGCACTATCCTGTTCTCTCGACGCCCTCTGGAGTTCAGCCAAACAACAAAAAACTTATTACAAACCGATAATTTCCAGCTGACGCTAATGACAGCTTGTTAGTGCTGTGGCTGTTGCAATAGTGTAACAAGCCACATTGTGTGCAATGATAAAACGGGCCACGCCGGTACTAGACATGGCATTGTGGGTTTTTTTTTTTTGGGGGTGGGGGGGTGTATGATAAACCTGTAAGTCGCCCACCCCTACACTTAATGGTTTGTTCTTTTGAATGTGGAATTTTTCCCTCAGTTATTTTTCAATTTTTTTGGTGGTCTTTCTGGAACACCAAATTTATGTGCCAAATCCCAAGCTAATAGGAAAGTAGCAAACGGTGTCAAAGAAGGTGATCCATGATTATTCAGCCAGGTTTTTCATAAGTCACGGAGCGTCTCCGTAAGCACCTTTGTTTTCACTGTGTAAAAAAGCTCAAGCATCTGTAAACAATGTCGTGTATTTTGAAGAGTCGTTGTTCTCAAGATGAATTTGAAATTGTATACAAGTGACTAAAGATGAGGAGATCATCATTGTTTTAATAGAATACTTTTTTGGTGCATTTTTATTTCGAAGTGGTGTGCCCTGTGATATTATTTTTCCAACTAAGGTACCGATATGGAATTGGGCGAGTAGAAGTTGGCCCGTTGTCTTAGCGGCAGAAAAGAGTCGGAAACTCCCAGGCCACACCTCTTTTTGTGAAAAGTACCGGTACACCAAAACTGTAATGATCTTGAATGGAAGTCACACGGCTCCTTTTGTCATTTTGGCGCCTCATTACAATCAAAGTCGTACACAACATTGACGGCGCCTGGGATTTCTTCAGAGCGGGAATGAGTCACCCTCGGAAGATTTTGGCAGCGACGCCAGCTCACTCGAATGCTTTTCAACGTGTGACTCAGCTTCTCTGTGCGCCATACTTTTTTTTTGTGTGTGTGTGTGTGTATAAGTATGCGTGTGTGTTTTTCAAACAAAAACATCAGGAAAAGAGCTGAATGCGAACATCAGCCCAGACTGTGGTTTTTATGCTGTTATGCTGGGCTTCCAGGCATGAAGACTAGCATGCCAGCGCAGGCCAGCGCTGGTGTCCTTATACCCGTAAAACCTCAACACTTTGCAGTCATTGCTTTTGGTTGGCGTGGGGATCGTTTTCATTCTGGAACTCTTGTGCCAGAGTGAACTGTGACTCACTTTTTCTGGCATCTCTGAGCGCTACTTTGGCCGGAGCCTGTGTTTTTGGTATCGCTCTCACCTGCCCAAACTAAAGATGGCCGTTCTCTTGAGAACACACAGAGTAATACCACGTCTTTCTCACCAGGTCCTGTTCCAGCTGACCCGTTCCCAGATACAGGGAGGCCAACACCACTCGTCTCTTTGCGGTCCTGACACGTGCCTGATGGGAAAGAAACGCTGAAAGTGAGTATGGAGGGCGCGATGTGAGTGCGATTCCCACAAATGAGAAATGACGAAAGAATTTTTGTTTTTTTTTATTCGGTTAATTTGAATGAGTTTTTAGTGCATGTTTGTTAGTGTTTATTTTTTCATAAATTCTTTGTTTCAGTTTTGCTATAATTAGATGGTTTTGTAAATGTAAGCTATAGTCTGTTGTTTATTTTTTCTTACATTTTCATTTACCGGTAGTTATATATTTTTTCAATTTTTGTTTTTGTTATTTCGTTAGTTTTCCCGAACTCTAATAACCTTGCCTGGGACCTTTCCAAGTTGCATTCAAGACATATTCCTTAAAAAGTGACCTTGAGGCTTGATGCCGATGAGACTTATCGTTTCAAATTTCATTCTAGATCTTTGTTTGTTAATTCTACAGCGATTAAGCCTGCTGGGAAAGTAGCACTTCCTCAATTAGCTGCATCTGAACGAATGTCAGGACAGCTAAAACCTAGGTGCGGACTACTTGTCATTCAACTGACCTTCAGCGTCTGGTAGAACTGGTCAGGCGAGGTGAGCACATGGACACGTGTGCCGTTGACCCGGAAAGCTGGCACGCGCTCTGCCATCCATCGGAATTGGGCGTGAAGGCTGCGCGGCGCGCCTGGCGCCAGGGCGCCGCTCTCTGGAGCAGGCTCGGCTTTGACCAGCAGGGGCGCCAAAAGAAGAACGGAGGAGCTACGCTCACAGAAATGGAAAAATGGATTGACTGCAGAAGAAGAACGCTTACTGGCCATGCTATGCAAGGATCTGAACAATGCTAATGCGCACGCTAAGTATGGAATGTCAACTCTTGACTCATTGATTAATCCATTATTCGTGTGGCAAAGCAGTTTAAGGAATGCCACAAAGAGAGTGAAGCTGTTACAAGTGCGCATTTGTCTGAAGATGACTCTTCTTTTGCTGCATTGGTTTTCCCACAGACACATCCTTCCGGTGTCCAAACCATGCAAATTAACAAAATCTGGCATTTCCCATCACTGATATGACCATCCTCCAGGCCAAGGTTATGGTTGCTATTTTACAGAAGAGATACGCTTCATGTAACCACTGTAAAAGTGAATGGTCCATCATCGTTCATTAACCCACAAGGGTCCTTAAAATAAATTGCAATAAATGTTTGTATCAGCTCCAATTGGCTAGTAACTAATTCAGGGTTTACCCTGCCGACCGCCCGAAGACAGTTGGGATCGGCTCCAGCAAGCCCGCGACCCTTGTACCACATTTTCAAAAGTGTCTCCCTGAATATAGGGACCCGCACGCCATTCAAACAAAAAAAGAGGGGTTAATGGAACACTCTAAATTGTCCCGAGGTGTGATTGTGAGAGAGAATTCTTGTTTGTCTACGTGTGCCCTGCGATTGGCTGGCAACCAGTTCAGGGTGTTCCCGAAGAAATGTTTATTTTATGCAGGAGGGAATGAGCTATTATAATATAGTAATTAGAAATAATTTCCCCCAATATGGCTGCTATTTGATGACCTCTGAAACCTCACAAAGAACCCAGCAAATCCAACTGGGTGGGACAATCAGTGAAACCAGCCAATGTCGTCTCAGAGCATAACAACCAATCATGAAGCAGCGCAACACAGGGAGGGCCGATGATTATCGAAGATAGCCGAAAACTATCGAGCGCCATTCAAAGTGTTTTTAAATAGCTCACGAGTTCTGCCGAATAACACAACTTGCTGAAACGACGATTGGCGTTCATTTTATGGCAAACACCTGAAGTGACATTTGTTTGTATTTTTTTTTAAATAATTCGTGGGAATACTTTCTCGGATTTCGAAGGATCGTAAAGCCAGGAAGAAGGACGTTTAAAGCTCACAGCACCATTTGAAGCGTCACTGACCGTGTTACTACATTAGCATAAGAAGGTTGCTACTGTTTCTGTCAACGGGATGCCTAGCTTACGACACGAAACGTCGGATTTCACTGTAATTTCGGCGTTTTGTTGCAACTTCGTCTCTTACCCGCCTCGTCGGTCCCGCGCGCGGAAGAGCCGGTCGGATATTCGCATGAAAGCCCCAGCCAGGGCCGGCGAGTACACGGAGGACACCAGCCTCCTCCACGACATGGGGGCCGCCATTGCTGCCGCAGCGCCCATTTGAAGAAGGGGGAAAAAAATAAAAATCCGAAACTTTATTGACACAAAGTGGTGGGAACGTGACAAGACAACGCGGCGAAGCCTTCAAGTGAGTAAAACTGGCATCACTCGACGCACGTAATAACTTGAGTAAATATCACACGGGTGAGGTCAACCTCACCTAAAATACACGAACAGATACTGCATTTGGATATTCATTAATACCCATAAGAGCCCAGACCCATTTTTCCAAAAGGTTTTGATGGGTTAAAATCAGACAAAAAGTTTTGAAAAAAGATACTGTTTTTACACACACACACACACACATTACCCATCCTTCTGCTTTTCGAGGGTTGCGGGCGCGCTGGAGCTTGTCCCATCTGTTTTCGGGCAGTAGGCAGGGGACACTTGGAACTGATTTCCAGCTGATCACAGAACAACAACCATTCACGCTCACAATCACCCCATGGGACAATTTAGAGTGTTCCTTTAACCTACCGGGCATGTTTTTGGAATCTGGGAGGAAACCGGAGTAACCGGATAAAACCCACGCAGGTACGGGGACAACATGAAAAATCCACACAGGTTCGAACCCTGCACGTCTGCACTGTGAGGCGGACATGCTAACCAGTCAGTCACTATCCATTACAAACTACATATACTGTATATGTATATATGTGTGTAGTGTATGCGTGGGTTTGCGTGTTTTCCATTTGGACATATGCACAAACAAGTTATTTGTGTGCAAAAAGAAATATGTTTTATTGTTCAAAACTGAGAGGTTACATATCACAAATATAGTCACGGGCATGAAAATAAATCTTAAAAACTGTCAACAGGTAGTCTATTTCTGTATTTGTACCTGTACTTCATACTAAGTCAGCATCAAAATCTTTAAATCGGAATCAAATCGAATCCAGCCAAATCCAAATTGAATTGGAACTTCAAAAATGGGAAGTGAATCTTAACACTGGTTTACAACACTGGTTTACAAATACATCCTTTAGTTAATTCAATAATTAGTGAATTAGTTATAAATAACAAATCATAGTGTCATTTCATTTTTCAAATCATAAACTTTTTTTAAAATTCATCAATAAATTACCATTTCATTTAAAAATCTAAAGAGAACAAAAGCACACCCACCCCTGATAAAAGTGTAACTAGCTCAAAGTTAATTAGAGGACTTTGAGCCCTATAACATGTGCATTTAATGGAACAAGTACACCTTACCCCCCCCCCCAAAAAAAAACCCCATATATTTATATATATCGGGAGAATGTGATGAATTATCACGATGAATATTTCATGCCGTGTAAAATGCATGTGGAACGGCTCGAGCGGTACCAGGAAGCGGACCCTGCTGCAAAGGTCACCGAGATTATTTACTGGCAATACGCCAGAGCGAGAGCCGCGCGAGCACGCACGCGTGTGCCCGTGCGTCAAGACCGTGCGCGCGCACGAACCCATGCGTTTACTGGAAGAACCTCAGGACAGAAGGGGGCGGGGCCTTACGATCGGCTTTACTCACTGGAAACAACCTCCGGTAACCTTCCGCCATACACAGAGACGCACACATACGGTCCGTCTACCTCTTCTCCCGCAGACGGCAGCGCCGCCGCCGACGAAGACGACCGTCCTCGGCATACTTTTTGGGCAGAATATTCCGTCGGGGGGATTTTAATGCCTGAGCTAATCCACCTCCATCTAGCACTACTCTCGGGTAGTTTGCCGAGTGTATCTTTTGGCGACGTGCTGCGGCGCGGGGCTGTATTAATCCGCAAGGTAAGTTGACTGCTCGTGCGCGAAGTAGACCGCGTTGAAATGTGATGAAAATTCAGTCCCGGGATTTACGTAGTTCATTTATAGTCAAAGCGGGTGCTGGTTTGACTGAAATGGCGGCGCCGAGCTGTAATGGGGGTCTTTTCGGGGAAGCCCCCCTCGCTTTTTTTGTACCCCAGACTCCAGTGCGGACAACATACACGGGGGCCCCATTCTGTGTGTGTGTGTGTGAAACCGGAGAAAGGGGCCACTGTGGCTGTAATGCAGAGGAGCTGAAGTGACTGGGAGAGAGAGGGTGCAGTGACCCCATTATTTTTGACCCCCCCCCCCCTCCCCGGTCCCCCAATGATCGATTGCAATCAGACTCCAGTTGCAGAATTAGCTGCAAGGTGCATTGCAATGTCTTTAACCCTTACGTGCTGTTCGCGTCTAATTTGTCTACTTTCTGCCCCGAAAAGTGTTTCTGAAAGTGACCCCAAATACACAAATATATGTCATTCATTTGTACAGGTGCTACCAAGGTTGTGTACACTAAGGCTGTTTGAAATATACAAGTGTGTGTCACATTCAGGATCATGGAGGGGATGGTGTTCAAGAGGGAAATTCAATCAGTCCTGAGAACTGTCTCTGTCGCCACCACATTTGCGCAGCTTCCTGCAGAAATGTGCACCTGTTGGTCTTTAAAGTGTCACGGGGGAATCTGGAAATAGTACAAATGGAAAACAGTAAAATAGTGAACATATGAAATGACACTTGCCCTTTTCGCTGAAACATTAAGGAAACATTAAAGATTAATTCATCCGTTTTGAAATGTCAGACAGGCTATTAATACATTCCTTTTAATAATTGAGGATAAAAATTGACCATGGAACATACTCTGTGTGCATGGAAAATGAATTGTATGAAAGGCCTTCATGCATGTGTGCCACTTGACTCAACTGACTCTCACTGATTCATGAATGGCAACCGTCTACTGTGCAGGTGTGTCTCGGTGGTCTCTCCCAGCCCCTCTCTGGATGCATCCAGCTCCTCTGCCCCCGGGCCCTGGACCCGGTGTGTGACCCCGCCGTCCTCCCCTCTTTCCCCTTCAGAGACCGTCGCCTTCCCGCCGCCCGTTCTCTGCCCGGAGGCGGTGGACCGCGGCGACATGGTGGCCTCCCGCCGGCGCGAGCCCCTCACCGTGAGCGGCGGGGCCGCCTCAGAGGGGAGGGTCCCGCAGTCCGACTGCACCCCGCATCACTTCAAGCCCTTCAGCTCGCATGCGCACTACCAGCAGGTTAGTCAAATTCCTGTTACTTGTGTTTCTTCCAGGCACTTCCCAGCTGAAACTGACTGTAAAACTAAACACATAGAGAATTACATAAGCAAACAAAACTAGCATTACTATTGGATTAGTTAGAAACGGTTAAACAACTTATATCTTCACGCAAACAATAACAAAACACAAAGAAAAAGCATACAATATTACTTGCAAGCATATATTCTTGATCCTCTGCAAAAAGAAATTGCAGCTTATTTGAGACTGTCTTCATCAAGTCTCTGTGATGTGTATATTTTATACTGCCCTTTGTGGCCAAGGTACACACATCAGGGGGCAATGCCGATTCCAATATTTGACAGACTAAAATTTTGAACACGGATTGATTGGCTGATTAATTAAAGAAATCCATAATTGAAGAAAATCATTTACTTTTTGCTCGCTTCAAACTTGCAGTGATAAAGATATAGGAGGAGCATGTGACTGACTACAGTCGTTTATTTTGTGCCAGAAACAACAGCAACCACAACCATTACTTACCATTTTCATCAATATTAGTACATTAACTATCAAAGATCCTGTTCAAAAATCCCTCCCCTCCTAAAAAAAAAAAAAAAAATCCAACAACAATTCACCTGTTTCAGGTGATGCGTGCATTTGGTAAGCTTCAGGAGAGCGGCTTCTACTGGGGAGCAGTGGGAGGCCGCGAGGCCAGCTCCCTGCTCCGCTCGGAGCCCCCCGGAACCTTCCTGATCCGCGACTCGTCGGACAACCGCCACTTCTTCACGCTGTCGGTGCAGACGGCGCGCGGCACCAAGAACCTGCGCGTCCACAGCGAGTGCAGCGGCTTCTTCCTGCAGCCCGACGCGCAGTGCACCCAGGAGCCGCCGCGCTTTGACTGCGTGCTCAAGCTCATCGCGCACTACATGGGCAAGGGCCCCGCCAGCCGCGCCGCTGAACCCGGATCCGGACGCACCGTCTATCTGATCCACACCGGCGGCGAGCGGATCCCGCTGGAGCTGCGGCGGCCGCTCCTCAACTCCCTGTCATCCCTGCAGCACATGTGCAGGAGGACTCTGAACAGCCAGGGCCTGGGTGGGGCTGAGCGGCTGCCGCACACGCTCAAAGACTTCCTGGAGGAGTACGACGCCCCCATATGACTGAGAGGGCGCTGGGCTCGGACCGGTTCTCAGCGTGGGACGTGACCGATAGAAGAGGTAAACGGTCAACCTTCTCCCGATGACTGACTTAGACGCCGAGGAAAGCCTCGTAGAAGACTAAAACAAGAAAGCGTCTTGTGTACATGCGTTCACACGGGACCAAGCTCGACTTTTTCTTCTTTTTTTTAAAAATCCAAAACCGGCTGCAAAAACACCATGGTGATGATCTTGAAGATGGAGAAAGAAGAACGGCAGGAAATGAAATGAAGAAGAAGTCGGGGGGGGGGCATAGTCGAACAAAAAGCGACGCCTCGCGCTTCGAGGAAATGACACGCGGACGCCCCAGAGCCAAAATGGCGTCCAGTCTTAAGATTTTATTTTTCTTTGTAGTCCTCATCTCATGAAGCATGTTTGTCCAGACTCAGAGGGTCCTCGGCTTACGACGGATTTACGTTTCTATGATGGCGATGTAACCCGAATTTGTTCTCTAGTTGCAACGCGCCAAATCACCAGTATAGTTCAAGCCATAATGACAGTATTTGTTTGAAAAACACACAATCCCATGTGTAGTGGTAACTGAACGTGCCTTCTTCTGTGGCCTGACGATATATTCTTACAGCGTAGCGCAAATTGCTTCCTTTATTGTGCTGGGACCATCGGAATTGAAAGAAAATCAAATCGACGAGCCGGACATCCTACCTTGCAGTCCCACCAGAAACCATTGGGGGCGATGTTGAGATTAGCGACTCCAGCCAAATTTTTAGTCTGAAATGCACCGTAGCCTGTCACTAACCTATTTTCGCAGAGGAGTGAAGTCATTGTCACAGTTAAGTACGGTGGTAACAGCATGCCTTTATGTGTCATGTGACCGCGTATTCTAACAAGTTCATTGCGTCCCACTCGCAACGTCAAAACCTCATTCACTGGAATCATCGTAATGTCTCGGCCGCGTCTCCTGACTGACTAATTGACACACTTAGCAAACATTAATTGCGAAAGTTATTGTGAAAGTTGGGGGCGTAAAAAAAAAAGAAAGTGATAAAAAGGTATGTCACATGCTTTGAATGAGGTCAAAAGAAGCGCCATCTGGTGGACAAACTTGAGAGCCAATACAGGGGTGTCCTCATTTCGCAAAGCGTGGCGTTCATAAAGCCGGCGATGTAAACGGAATTTGTACGCACGTCGGAATGCGGTCACCGAAAATGTAAAAAGACAAACAGGAACCTTTGAGACCTTGTATTTGGCAACCGTCGTGAATCGAGGGACCCCCTGTACATGCTTTTCAAATGACAATATGGAAATATCACTATTTATAAATACATGCGCATACATAGATGCACGAGTGCAACCCCGTGAAGGCCGCGCACTCATTTCGCATCCGTATCATTAATTCATCGTGGCGAGCCGCGTGACGTCATCAAAGGCGAGCATTGATTCGTCAATTGAATACGGCTCAGTTGCGAAAGGCCGGAGAAAATATTCATAATGAATCCAAACGCCTGCTTTTCCTTTATACCGTAGGTCACTTTGTTCAGTATTACTCACCACATTTCAAAGGTTAGCAGTAAGCTAAAAGAGTTTTTGACACTCTGATACATGACGGTCACCGAATTAAAGATTTGCTATTGATTGCTTATGTCATTAAGGCTCATGCCTGAAAACTCAAGTTTGTGGAGGACTCGTGAAAACTTGCTCATGAGAAAGTTAGCAAAAATTGGCCCCCCGACAAGAGTTTTACTGATTTACCTGAAATTCAGCAGACGTGTGTAGCATATCAAGATGCACGAAAGAGTCTCAAGGGCCCATGCCCAAAATTGAACGGGAAGTCGGCCATTTTGTTTTGGGCGGATGACGAATTTCAATCTTCATTGGGTATATGAGACAGTCGGCCCAGTAATAGTAGTAGCTTTGATTTGAAGTACCCTGCGACGCCATTTTGATCAAAATTGCGTGGACGGAAAACGGCTCAAAGAGCCATACCCGAAACTGAACAGCAAGTTGCTTTTGGTTTTTCTTCCAGTCGTACCTCTCAACAACACGTCTTCCACTCCCCACCCAAAAGGGGACTTTTTTTTTTTTTTTTTTTACTTATTTTAACACTCATCTTTGCTTAAAATGAAAAAAAAAAAAAACCTCTTGGAATGGCGCTAGCTAACGTGATCCACTCGGGAGCTGCCATCCAAAACACTAAAAACACAATCTGACAAGTCATAACGTTTGTGCTGGTGGACCCGCCGTCAATGTCACGTCATGTGTATGTATGTGAAATCATTTTGTCTTTTATAAAGACTCCAGTTAACCACAGCCGGCTGGTGGCCACTTAGTGTGGCACGACACAAGCTGTAATCTCAACAACAACAACAACAACAAAAAAGCAAGAAGAATAAATGAGGAAAAAAAAATGGAACGTTGCACATATTTATATTTCTAAAATATTTCAATAATTTATATTAAAGAGCACTATTTTTACAAAAGCCAACTGCCTTTGTTTGCCTGTTCCTTTTAGCCGAGCGCTTGATAGCTTTAGCCTGGGCTTCCCTCGTCGCAGAGTTAGAATTACGGCTTGTTTTTTTTTTTTCCCTTCAGCTGCTGCAAAGCACTGTGGGTAAATTCCATAAAGGCGGGCCTATAGGAAAGGAAGACAGGGGGGAGGGATAATACGGGGCTGGGGGGGTAACAAAGGGATTACCAGAAGAGCCGTTACACATTTGGACACAGGCCTTACTGTGCAAAACGCTCATTTTGGGTCGGACCTAACTGGAAAGGAATGCAGCCGGGCTTTTATACATCCTGCTCGAGGGGCTGAAGAGGATGTGTGTGTGTGTGTGTGCGTGTGTGTGTGTGTGTGTGTGTGTGTGTGTGATATATATATATATAAAATACATCCATACACACACACACACAAGTACTCATTGTGTGTCAATGCGTGAGAGAGTGTGAGTGAGGTCAAACATGAAAGTCCACGCATGGGAGATTTACATCATTCGCCATACATAAAAACGTCGGTCTCGGAGCTCAACGTGAATTGGTTTCAAAAGTGACACGCTCATATTCTCGTTCTTTGTCAGGTCTCACACACACACACACACACACACAGTGTGCACATGCACGCACGCACACACGCGGTTCCCATTCCCTGCATACCTAGTGTTCTGTGTGTGACTGGCTTCCAGGAAAGAGGCACTTTAATTGAGTTGAGTTTTTACGGCTTGCCTGGTGTTTGTGTGTGTGTGTGTGTGTGTGTGTGTGTGTGTGTGTGTTTGTGTGTGTGTGTGTGTGTGTGTGTGTGGAGACAGCAAGGGGAGGGGGGGAGAGTGTGAGGGAGGGACTTGAAGTGGAGAAAGAATACATTTTTTTCAATGACGCAAAAAAAAGGCCTCAGCTGCGGAGAAATGATGTAAAAGTCATTATGATGAGCATTCCTGGCATGCACACACACACACACGCACACACATGCACTCGCTCACACTCAGCGACATAATAAACACTTCATGTACATGCTGTCTAACTCGCAGGCACGCACACACACACGCACACACACGCAATCACCGATGTGACTCCAAATGCAGCAATTTGTCCACAGGCGAATGTTGCGCAAGGTTAAGTTGTAAAGTGCATGTCACACCTCCGCACGGCTTGGGAACCGCAAGGTCGCCAGTCAGAAACCTTGAAGGAAGTCATGTCGGGGGAAAGGCAGTCACGATAGGAAAACATGTTATGTGATATGTGACCACAGCGAAAATAATTCATCCTGCAATTCCAATTCCAATTAAAACTGAGCGATTAAATTTTTTTAAACGCAAGTGGTAAAATAAATACAAATCAAGCGGAAGCGTGCATGCAGTTCCATGCACAAAGAACCTCAGATGTGACTCAAGTTCCCCACATACTCTCAGTCTCGTGGAATATTCTTTCCCCGCATCCTTTTCGTCCAGTCTCACACACCCTGCCAGAGCCTTTTCCAGCATGATTAATTTTTTTCGGAGGTGGGCGGGGGATTGGGGGGTGGGG